TAAGTAGCATAAATAGTTGTTTTGAGTAGTAATTTTTGTTGACGTGTTTATTTGAAGAAAATCTTAAAGTATTTAGAAATTTACTTCATTAGTTTATTATAGTAGTCCATCTTGTTTGATTAACGTAATCCTTTTTGTTATGTAAAAAAAATAATTATTTGGCGATATCTCGAATTGGGAAGTATACTACTTTTTTACGAGTTTTCACCTGGTCAAAAGGTTAAATTAAATTAATATATTCAATCAAATATTCAATACAGGTGTCAAACAAACAAAATTTCAAGCTTACTTAATTTCGAAGATATTTTTCAAGAGGGTTGCCACCTGTTTAAAAACAAAATTTTGCACAAAGATGGTTCATGACCTGGATTGAAAAATTTGCTTTCCCGATCGGAAACAAATTTGACTCACTTACTAAGGGTTTCACAAGGATGGTCTTAGACTGAGAGTAATTCCGGCCCCTCCCATACAAATTGGAAATTTTGATAATATATACATATCTCTGAAAGTATTTGTGGGTGACAACTGGAAACGAACGCTTTTGGAAAAGGGGCGTGACACCTCCCATACTATCTCTAACTAAATTTCATATTGCATGTCTCTTCAAATATTTGAGGTAGAGTACTCAAGCTTGGTGTGGAGATATATTTGTATGTATGTATGTGTAACCAATCCCATACTCATGGAGAAAGGTTAGAGTTATTGGACAAGGTGGCGCAACAAATCGCATGCAAATTGATTTTTTTTATGCTTCATATCTCTGGCAGTGTTTATTGCAGAGTACTGAAACTTGGAACCGAGATGTGTATACAAAATTAATTCCAGACTCATGGCGAAAAATTGGGGTTATTCAGCTAACTTGAAAAAATAATTTTTTTTTTCAACTCAAATCTTGCCGCCTCTAAATTTTTTCGCCCTAGGCACCTGCCTATGTTGCCTTCACAGTAAATCCGCCACTAGACACAAGCTCTTCAATTTATGCCACTCTTAACAAACCTATTGCCTATATACCCTGAGGAAGGCCTTTAGCTCCTGAAATTGTCTTTGGGTTTATTAAGGCTAATCAAATTTGCACAAAATCATAATGATGCAGTCACAAAGCAATACGACGCCTGCAGCGCTTTTTCTCTATTTACTTTCTATGCTTTGGAAACACATGTTATCACTTACCTTGGAATGTCAAGGTTACTCATAGCCCTTCCAAACCGTTCCCTTTTGTAAAGTGACATAATTATTTTTTAATAAATAAGGTAAATAAAATAGCCTTGCCTGCAAACATTTATTTAGAAGCGCTCTCGAAATTACCAATTGCGTATTTGCAGTAAATAATAGAATGTCTGTATTTCTCACATTCCTTCCTGCCATTATTTCTTAGTACAGTTCATCAAAAGGTTTATCATAAATCCATTTCCTTTAAATAGAACTTAATAGACCTAACAAGAGTACCTGACCTTTATTGATTCAAAGTTCATGGAGTATGGGGATGTACTAAAATATAACTATGGTACTAGTACATAAGCACCAATGAATGTATGTTGAATCTATTGTATAGAATATACACTATTATTGGGTTAAAAGTCATAAAGGTATGAGTTGAAGCTCGAAACATTACGCACAGATGAAAGTAAAATTTAAGCGATAACAAAGGTCAAGGCAATACCATTTATCTTTGACCTCGGGCTTTTCATCAATATCTAAGTATGCAGTTAATGAAAGTAAGAAATTTTCATAAGTGCATATGTATGCGGAAATGACTGCTGCATAAGTAAAGGAATAAACATACATACATATCTGTGTATGCCGCACCACAAGTAGTTTTCATGCCTTTTTCCGAAGTGAGAAACTTTGTTATGTTAGTGTTTGGGCGTTGTACATTTTGTACAGTATCGGTAGCCTACGCCATCAGGGCGATTTGTCTTGCGAACAAATGTACTTTCGAAAGCCATCAAAGAATTCCCATCTTTCTTCAATATCGTGCACGTTTCTGCGCCGTATTAAAGGACGGGCATGAGAAGACAGCCAACGCACATTGTGACTTATGTATAAAGAAAATGTCTCTGCTTTCCACCTGTCTACCAAGCCCAAAGTAGCACCTGTTAGCCAGAGTAATTTCGCATGATTGCCAGACGGATATTTTATATGCGTGTATGTATTTATATTCAAAAAATTCTGCAAGTTCTCATTTTTAAGGTGTCAAATATAGAATACCAATTTTATTTGATTTAATGTATATCATAGCCTAAATGATAGCCATTTAATACATTTTGTGTACAAATTTTCAAAATCGTTGTCAAAATAAAATCATTTATTGGTATTTCGTTTTAGTATGGGAAATAATAAATGACACTCGTGCATGTTACCCACTCCGAGTGACAAAGCCAAAATTTTAAATAAGTTCAACAAATGTTGGAATGCAAACACATGGCACTTTTTGTTTGGTTAACCTTGACCGAGCGGCAAAACAAACC